GGGGGCGGTGCCCGGGGCGGGGCGTGCACGTCCTGCGGGCTCGGGGCAGTGCGGGGGCGGAGCGGGTGCATCTCCACATGGGGCCCTCCGGATTTTGCTGGAAGCCTCTGAGTTGGGCCGGTAAAGTTTCTGATTCTGACTGCCCCGAGTGGCCATGTTACCTTGCCTCAGTTTCCTCATCTGTAAACAGGGAGCAGTAACAACTCCGCAGGTTGTTGAGATGGTGCCGCAGGAAAAGGCGAAGGTCTCCGAGCTTCCGCCACCTGCTCCTCCTGACTCTCCTCTGCCCTCCTCCTCCGTGGCGTATGGGGCTTTATTCGCTGACATATAGGAGGTCTCTGCTGTGCAGAAAGCGAGAAAGACGATAGAGCCATGGGTAGGGGCGCGACTCCATCGTTGCAGTAAAATTATAGAACATTTATAGAGAACAAGTTTTTAATATATATTGTGTCATAAATAAAAATAAAGGCGCTCTATATTTAAAATCTGGAAAGGTCTGCACCATAATGTTGGAGACTGGTTGTCTTGCTGTGGGATATGGAAACTTTTTTTCTTGCCAGGATATATTGTCTAAGTATTTTATGGTGAGCACCGGTTATTTGTGAGTTAAGGATCAGGCCCGTCAGAGGGAAGGAGACTCTCTCAGCAAAGGTTGGGAGCGTTCTGGTTATAACCACTTGGAGGCAATTAAGAGACATCTATTTGAGGTCGAAGAGCACATGGCATTTGGCACGGCTTCTGTTTATAGGAGAGGCTCCCACTTGTGGGTGTCAGAGACGGGAGTAAGTAGATTGGCCTACTGGGGTCTCCCTAAGGAGGAGCTTAGTCCTCACTTCTGTGACCTGCATGTCAGTTTCCTCCGTGGTCCGATACAACCCGTTTTCATGTAGTCTCCTGGGCCACCACGGCCAATCCTGAGTCCTTTCGTTTGGCTCACTCAGCCAGCTTGAGAAGACTTTGCTTGATCTCACCACAGACTCACTCCATCGATCTCCTTCCAGCCTAACTCAAGACACACCTCCTCCAGGAAGTCTTCCCTGAATTACTGCTGGCTCCGGGCCATGTCCTCCAGCACCACTGATGGAGCCAGTTTGCAGGTCTGGGCTGTTAGGGGCAGCGTGAGTGTGTGTGTGTGTGAGAGTGACCTGGTGTGTACACGTGAACGTGAGTAACCGTGTGTGTGAGTGAATAGTGCGAGCGTGAGTTAGTTGGTGTGTTAGCGTGAGTCTGCAGGAGACTGTGTGACTGCGAGCGTGTGTGAGGCGTGCTGTGAGTATGTGTGCACACTTTGTCTCCTGGGGCGTCCGAGGGTACGTGAACACTTTCCCACAGCCTGGAGCGGGTTCTGTTCACAGCAGTCGCCCAACGGGGGTGTCTGACTCAGTAGAAATGAAAGAAGGTGGCCAGGCAGGACCATCCCTGAGGGTTTGGCGTGGGAGCCCGGCCAGCCTGGGCACGTCCTCACTCCCTCGCTGGGTGACTGGGAGGATCATTCATTCTCAAGCCAACATTCTCATGGGTGAGATGGGTGAGGCAACGCAGCTCCTTCCTGGTCAGCATCTAGTGAAGGTTCACGAAGAGAATGTGCAGGCAGCTCCACCCGAAGCCTGGAACACAGCACCTGCTAACAGTGTTCACCATGGCTCCGGGAGGGCTGCGGCCCAAAGGTAGATACCCATGCTCCCGCCACCATGCGTGGCAGTGATGCAGGCCGTGAGTGTGCTGTGCTGCACTTGCCACATCCCTGCGCGATCGGTGCCTGTGGAAATAATGCCCGCTTCCAGCCAGCTGTTTGGGTCTTACATAAGACATGGGGGCAGGGTGCCCCAGCACTCTCTTGGGGCATAATGAGCTGCTGACATATTTTAAGTATTTTCTTCACTCCTTCCTCTGGCCAGCCTCCAGGGCGCCCCTGCCACCAGTGTCCTGGTCTGGTGTAGACTCGGCCACCAGGTGGCCTGGATTCCAGCCCCACCCCCATTCGTGCTGGGTGTGCTGGTCAGGAACATGGGCAGTAGGCTGAGTCCCAACTGACCTCCTGCACCTGGAAGCTGTTTGGGGGGGGCGTGCGGGACGTGATCTGGCTGGTGCCAACGTCCGTGGGCATTTCCACCATTTCACCAGAGGCACAGAGACAGGGCTCTCATTCACGTCCACCACATCCACCATTCTGTGGCTGTGGAGGTGGGGAGAGCCGCCACGCAGGGCACTGCGTTCACCACCATCATGTAAAGGGTGTCCTGCTGTGTGGTCTAAAAATCTGAGTCCCAAGAGGGACAGTGGGTGCACTCTGTGTCCTTCATGTAGGGTCTTCCGTTGCTAGCCTGCAAAGAAGCTCAGGCCCCAGCTGCAACCTTCCCTCAAGACAGGCAGGGGTCACACTTCTCACGCTCGCTGTCCAGCCCTGACCACCATCAGCGACAGCTGCAGGCAAGGTGTGAGCCAGGACCACCTGCTGAGCCCTTCCCAAATGCCTGGCCCACAGCGGTGTTGTGTGGGATGATTTGTTAAGTGGTAATAGCTGCCTGGGACAAGGGGCAGCAGTGAGAAGACAGAAAACTCCCATTTCTGGGTTTCTAGGCAGTTCTCATCTGAAAGAACCAAACCGTGGTGGAGACTTTGCATTGTCATGCGTCTCCAGTTTTGCCCTGAGCGAGGACTTCCCAATAGCCATGTGTGCCTGACCACAAATCCCAGAATTCCTTGTGGCCACAGGTGCTGAGTCCAGACTGGAGGACAGGAGCAGTGGGAGCCACAGTGACAAGTGTAAGGATACCGTGGGCACTCAAGCGGAGGGCGAGGGGGGAAAGCATTCCCTAGCAATATGGCACCCTTCCAGGTTCTTCTCCACAGTAAAAGCCCGCTGGTGCCAAAACCTCAACCAGTCACAGGTCAGGGCTCACTTCCTGCCCAGCCCCATCCAATCAGCTACCGCCCGTCCACCCCCTATCCAAACCCAGAACGCAGCTCCCTATAAATATACGCGCAGTCCTTGAATAAAGTGGAACTTCTCTGGCGAACTGTCAGCTCGGGTCCTGTCATCTTGTCAGCTCGGGTCCGTGCGCCCTTTCATTGGTGCCGAAACCCAGGAGGAGTTCACCCTGTGGCAGGGGACTCCTTCCTCGGACTTCCTCAGACCCCTCTGTGACCCCCCCGGGACTGACGGTCTGCCCTCGTCTATTTTCTCTGGCTCTGACTTCCTTCACCCACCACCGGCTCATCTGTTAGGTAAGCCCCCTTTTCCTTTTGTCAGGCTTGTAGATTATTTAAACCTTCAGCCTAATCACATTCCCCCGGCCCTGGCATTGACACGTTCCCGGCCCCGGAGGCTGAACCTCCCATTCCTCTCTCTCTCTTTCTCTCACTCCTTTTAACCTTCCTCCTACCTGGTCCAGGACCCCTGCTGTCTGTCAAAACCCTAGCGTGCTAGGTCCCTCCGGCTCCAGGCAGTTGCCTCCAGGAAGCAAGGGTCTAGGTGACGACCTACACCTCCTTCCTTCCTGGGTTCATCCTTGAACCCATCTCCTGGGAACTGCACGACTCATTGGGGACGCCCTTTGAGTTCCGTCATTCTCATCCAGCCAGAAGGCTCATTCTAATCCTCCTTTTAAACCTTCTCTCTCTCTCTCTAATCCTCTTCAGAATGGGAGCTTCTGCCTCCTCCCTCCGGGGTGATTCACCCTTACAGTGTCTCTTAAACAACCTCACCACCCTATCCCTCAAGCCTGACATTAAGCCCTAACTCCTCACCAAATTTTACACACAAGATTGGCCTTATTATCCCCTAGATAACCAAAATAAGTTGCCCCCTGAGGGCACACTCGATCCCGACATTCTCCGGGACCTTTTTAACTACTGCCAGCACCTGAGAAAGTGGAAAGAGATTCCATACGTGGAGGCTTTCCGCCTGCTTGCCCAAAATCCCTCTCTCTGTCTCACCTGCTCTCCTTCCCAGGTTCTCCTTGCTTCCAAACCCCCTTCATCCTCACTGCCTCTACTACCCCCTACTTCTGATAATTTTGACCCTGCAGATGAAACCCCCCCATTCAGGTCTCCTTCTCCTGTAACTCCCTCTGCTCCCCAACCCCCTCAGTTAACTCCGCTCCATCCACCTCCTGTGCCCGGCTGGCCAGCCAGTAAACAGCCCTGGTCTCCAGGGCAACCGCTGCGGGGTGAGGGGCCACCTAGTCAGCCTGTTCTCCTGCCTGCTCCCGGCTCCTCCCGCCCCGTCTCCCTCCATTCCTCCTCTCCTTCTGGCCCGGTGCCCCGCCTCACACACCCCACACCCAGATGCTCTCTCCACCCATCCAGGGTGGGGGGAATGTGTCGTGGGGCGGCAGCGGCGGTGGTGGGCCGTTTGGAGTGGCGCTGCCAGTGCCCCGAGCCTCGTGGCATTGGAGGTGGGCGGGGTTGGACACGCTGCATTTGCGTGCGGCGCTCCCCTCGCCCGCTGCCTCCCGCTCCCAGCGGGGCCCTGCCCCTGCCGCCGGCTCATGCTCCGTCCCGTGGCCCCAGCTTCTCCCTCCTGCCTCCTCCTCCCTTGTTTCTTCTAGCCCCACTGTGCCGCTATCTTGTTCCCTGCTGACTCCCATTTCACCTGCCCTGGCGCCTTCCTTTAGCCCCCCTGTAACTCGTTCCCGAGGACTCCCCCCCTCCTCCACTGTGGCTCCTCTCTGTGAGGTGGCTGGAGCTGAGGGAGTTGTTAGGGTACACGTTCCCTTTTCTTTTTTTTTTTTTTTTTTTCCTTTTTT